GAATCGAAGGTCTCGTCATTTGTAGTACAACGGTAAAAAGTCTGACGAAAACGGACGTCGGATGAAGAAGTTATGAATTTTTAACGGATTTCCTGTCCCGGTCTGTTAAAAATAATAATATAAAAATTAAAGTCAAAATTAGCTGACAAAGTCTAAACGAAAGTTGTAGAGCGTAATTTTACCTACGCGTGCATATAAAGAACGTCAAAAACGGAGCTCGTATGCGAAAGTTATGGATTTTAGAAGTTTTGGCGCGAAAACCGAGAAATTTCGCATAGGTGGCTTCGGCCATGTCACCCTTCGCATGCAGCCTCCACGTGGCATCTTCTGATTGGACCGCAGCCTCGCGTGGCAACCGCTGATTGGTTCGAAGTCGTCACCCTTCTTCCCCTTTGGACCGAAGTCCGGACCACTTAGAAGCCTCCACCTGTCCGAGCTTCGCACGTGGCCTTCGCATGAGCTACCCCGTGTCCGACCTTGCTGATTCATCCGACGCGTGTGCATCGGTGGCGAGCCCTCGCATGCGAGACGTGTCCGACGCGTGTCTTCCTACGGTCCGAGCCACGTGCCCTCGCCTCCTGATGCCACCTGCCTCGCTAACTCGCCCTTTTGATCGGCCGACCTCGTATCCTCGCCCTATAAATACAAGGCATGCGAGCCTTGCCGAGGAATTTTAGACTTTTGCCATTTTTGACTCCAAAATCAATATTTTTAGTATTTTGACTTCCCCCGATGCCCCGAGATCATTTCCAATGCTCGGAACACGTCCCGGAGTGCCCGAAGGCCCGAAAAATTTATCTTTTCGGTTTCGAAGCCCGACCCCTCGCAGAGCCCGGTTTCTCAATAAAACTCCCGGTTTTATTTGAAACGATCGTTTTAGGAAACGAATTGCTGCCCGATTTTCATTAAATCATGTGAGTGTATAGTCACTTTCACCTTACACATAGATATGAAGTATTTACCTTAAAATACGTGCTATGTGTAAATATATTAATTGTTTATTTGAGGTGACTGTTGAATTGATGTTTTAATACAAGTTTTAAACTGTATATATATTTTTATCTACAAATATGTTGGGTAAAACATGGGTAGATGAATTAGATGATGTGTGATGAAATAAAAGTGATAAGAGGTATCGATGTTTAAGATGATCTAGTCATCTAGCAGAGTATAGACAACGGCCACAGACTATTTTAGATAGCCCAGTGGAACGTTAGTAGACTTGTAATCGGTACGTATGTTTGAACTATATGTTCATTAGGTATTTTTGAACTATGTGTTCATCCATTAGTTCTTCCTTTTGACACTATTTACGTGTCGGGGTACGGGAGCGTACGGGAGTACTTTATCAGTATTTTCCCTATACTTTTATTTGGAAGAGCTTTGGAGTCTTTGTTCTTTTATGAAGTGATTGGACGAGCTTCATGAGTTAGTGATATAGATCATGAGTTGAGAGTGAGTGGTGAAATATGGGAAAAGCTTTTACCCAAATGTTGGCGTGAGTGGTGCAATATGAGAAAAGCCCTTACCCAACGTTGACCCCCGTCATTCAGCAAAGTATGGATGACAACCATGGACTATTTTGACGGTCTGTGGAACACTAGCTGGCTCGTAACCTGTAGGTGTTAATGGACTTAAGTGTTCATTCGATGTACTCTATTCCCATCATGAGTGCCTTTAGGGCATGTAAGGCTGGGGAAACCCCTTAAGTATGTTCATCAGCTGTATGGAAAACCCATTGACATGTATTGCAAGGGGGGGGGGGGAAACTCCCGTGGGAAATACCATCGATGAATAAGAGCTATGGACTAGCACATGGCGACGATGTGACTTCGTGCCTATTTGACATAAATTGCTGAAGGAAAGCAATGTTGTCACCTTGTTGGTTGTTTTATGTTAGGATGTCTTGTTTGACATAACTTGCTGAGGGAAAGCAATGTTGTCACCCCGATGTTTGTTTTATTTGACATAACTTGCTGAGGAACTCCCAAAACAATGTTGTCGCCCCTAGTGATAATCCTTAGGCTAGGTCCCTTATGATAGTTGTTTTAGGGACGTAAAGTAAAGATAATGGGAATGGGTAATTAGGGTTATTTTGGTTGATGGAATTAATAAATTTATTGTTGATTGAGAACTTAATAAGTTTATTATTTATTGTGGGTTGAAAACCCTATATGCTCACCAGGCTCCCAATCCTGACCCGCTCAGTTTAATTGTATCACAGGTATCGATATGAAGTTGCTTTACACTGAGAGATTAAAAGAGAAGTAGATCACTAGTGTAAATGAATGTTGGTTTTGTTTATGCTTATGTTTTTGTATTGACAATGACATCCCAATGGTTTAAGTGAATAAAATACATTTCTTCGGAAATGATTTGATAACATATTTATCATATTTTTCTGGGAACAAATTCCGCAACACTTTTAATCAAATGATTACTCTGAAATTATTTTAAAAGCATAAATTAAATCGGTCTTTTCTGGTCGTGAAATTGGGGATGTCACAATGTGTATTAAGTATAAACTGGAAAGCAATTGTTGGCTTAGTGACATGTATAACCAACGTATACATTGGTCTAAACCTTTCTTGAAGGATATTTTCTTTGTTGGTATGACCACAACCGGACGAAGTGAGAGTATCAATTCATTTTTTGATGGATTTGTTAACTCAAATGACCATGTTGAATGAATTCGTTGTACAATACGACAAAGCAGTTGAGTCACGAAGGGATGCCGAAGAAGATGAAGACTTCAAGACTATGAACTCAAGGTCGGTTCTTTCTTCAGTGCATCCAATCGAAGCAAAAGGAGATCAACGTTATACTAGAAAAATGTTTGATACTTTTAAAAAAGAATGGACTGAAGCTATTACCAATTTGACTCACGAGACTCTAATAAAAACTACAGAAGAAAGCACATATAGAGTTGGGCAATTGGATGTTGATAAAAAAATATTGGCGCAATGGACCCTTGATGTTAGGTACAAACTGGGTAGTGTTAGTATCGGACTCGGAGAAATAAATAATGAAAATGGAGTTAGTGCCTACACATTATTTTGTGTCCATTCAAATTTTACTAAACTAATTGAACAATCAAGGGACTCTCCGTCGGAGATACAAAAACTCAATACGATATTGATACGTCTTTTAGATGATCAAGCAAACCGAAAGACATCTGTGTCTTTGGAGAATGCATCTCAAAGTTCTTGTATGGGAGTTTCGCAAGTAGATATGATGCCACAGTTATCTGTCTGTGATCCTCTTGGCCCAACTACTACAAAAACGCGTCTTAAACTTGCAAGTAGAATCAAGTCTTCTTTAGAAGCCCCCAAAAAACGAACATGCTCTTACTGTCAAGGATTAGGTCATTATGCTACTAGTTGTTCAAAAAGAAAGGTAATTATAATAATAATTTAATTTTCATGATTGAGAACTATAATAGTTATATTAATAATTTTTTTAATTTTTTTCATGTATTAGGCGGATGAATCGTTGCAAGAGACATAATGATGAGATGTGTTGTTTCTGAGAGAAAAAAGAAAAAGTAGATGTTTCATGACATTTTTTCTTGGTTAACTGCACCTTTTTGATGTTTTAGACACAAACGATGTATGAATAATCTAGAATTTATTGATGCTTCATAACAATTTTAATGTTTTCGAATGAAATTTGTTGATTGTTCATAATTTGTGTGATTGTAATTGAAATTTGGTTGCCACTATATGTTTCACACGAAATTACGAGGGTATTTTGAGAAAAAAAAACATAAGTACAAAGGTATTTATGTGAAAAATCGAAAATTTGAGGGTATTTTGTGAAAAAAAACGGAAGTATAATGGTATTTTTGTGAAAAAATGAAAATATGAGGGTATTTTGTGAAAAAATGGAAGTACAAAGGTATTTTTGTGAAAAAAAAAAATATGAGGGTATTTTGTGAAAAAAACGTAAGTACGAAGATATTTTTGTGAAAAAACGAAATTTTGAGGGTATTTTGTGAAAAAACGAAAGTACAAAGGTATTTTTGTGAAAAAACAAAATTTTGAGGGTATTTTGTGAAAAATGAAAATTTGAGGGTATTTTGTGAAAAAACGGAAGTATAATGGTATTTTTGTGAAAAAATGAAATTTTGAGGGTATTTTGTGAAAAAACAAAAGTACAAAGGTATTTTTGTGAAAAAATGAAATTTTGAGAGTATTTTGTGAAAAAATGAAAATTTGAGGGTATTTTGTGAAAAAACGGAAGTATAATGGTATTTTTGTGAAAAAAACGAAAATTTGAGGGTATTTTGTGAAAAAACGAAAGTACAAAGGTATTTTTGTGAAAAAACGAAATTTTGAGGGTATTTTGTGAAAAAAACGGAAGTATAATAGTATTTTTGTGAAAAAAAAAACGGAAGTATAATGGTACTTTTCTGCACATTTGGGTTAAAAACAAAACTTTTATGTCATTTTGGGTTAAAAATGAAACTTTTCTGCAATTTTGGGTTAAAAACAAAACTTTTTGTCATTTTGGGTTAAAAACGAAACTTTTCTGTCATTTTGGGTTAAAAACGTAAATTTTCTGCACATTTGGGTTAAAAACAAAACTTTTATGTCATTTTGGGTTAAAAATGAAACTTTTCTGCAATTTTGAGTTAAAAACAAAACTTTTTGTCATTTTGAGTTAAAAACGCAATTTTTCTGTCATTTTGGGTTAAAAACGAAACCTTTCTACAAATTTTGGTTAAAAACGAACTTTTTCTACAATTTTGGGTTAAGAATGAATGTAGGCTATCATTTTGGGTAAAAAATGAAAGTAGGCTATCATTTTAGTTAGTGTTGTATTAATCTACAAATAAGTTTGATGGTTTTTCACCTTGTTGGACGATTTTGTCCCTGTCCCAAAGACGGTTGTAATCCTCAAGAACTTAAGCATAGGGAAGTTCAAGTTACATATACAATACAATCAAAAGCAAAGAATCTTAATTGTCAATTTTTATTAAAAATGATAAGTACATTGATACTTCGGATAAATATGAAAAGTGGGTTGCTATTTTAGTTTACTTCAAAAAAATAATACTTCTGTTCTATACATTTTCTGTTAAAATATACATGGTCAATTCACTATACAACCACCCAAATTTTTTCAAATGTTCCTACAATTCTTCCAATTATTCAAGTATTCCCACCAGTTCTCCAGCAAAGAATCTCAATAGCACCGGGATGAGCTATCCGACATCAAAATTATACCATGTTGGCATGTTCCTACATTATTTTACCCAACTTAAATCTTGTAATATTTGAACCCTCTAATATTTCAACATAAACCTGCTCAAAACCAAATTAAAATCTTAGCCATTAAAGGAATTATAAAAAGAGCAATTGGTATACTTACAATATTTGTCTCCACAGAAGCTACATCCACTTTGAGCCCCTTGATTTTATTTAGCCCCTCTACAAAAAAAAAACACGATTTGGGTGTTAAGAACTTAATCAAAGAGAAGAAATATTTACATAAAAACCATTTTAGAAGTGGAGCATTACCGGCTAAAGTCTTGGCATTCTTGTGATCATTTCCAAGCTTTCCAACATTTTCTTGTAAAGCAACAAGAGTAGCAGCACACAAGATTCCCACCTGTCTCATTCCACCACCCAAAGTTTTTTGCAAAATTCTTCGCTATATCAATAAAAGATTTAAGCTTTTAACTTAAAAAGAAACTATTAACCAAATTTTGTCAATTTTCAAGAACTATAACAAAATATACTATAATATTATATAACCTAGCAATGAAGCTCTTTGTCCCAACAATAACAAATCCAACTGTGCACCAAGCCCTTTCGACAAGCATACTAAAACAGAATCAGCAGCCTATAAACAGGGACACCAAGAGCCTGAAAAAAAGTCTTGAATTTATGGAAAATGAAGAAGAATGTAGAAAAGGGTTTGTTGAACTTACAACAGGTGCATTAAAGATACGAGTCCCATATATATTAAGCTTTAGGTTATTTTTTTGGCAAACTCTCCAACCTGGTCTATGTTGTCTACAGAAAGAACTATGTCCCATGTATCATTGAGTAGTCTATGTTAGGCATTTTGTCATACACCTATAGAGCATTAGAAAAATGAAAGGGAAATTCATACTTAGCATGGGAATTCTCAAGGAAAATGAGCCTAGTTTTTGGGTAACAAATCTCAAATGTAGGGTTTCGGATTGAAAATATTGCAAAGCCCTATTCCAATAAAAACAACCACATCACATAATAAATATTTTGCTTGTATTGGAAAAGGAATAACCTGAAATCGAGAAGAAGTGAAGTATGCCGTCGCTTAGATGCCTTGTTGCGACGGACCGGAGGCTGGGGGGGCTGCCTGCCTCGTCTCGCTGGGTGGGTGGGTTTGAATCGGTATGGTCGGCTTAATACGACAGGCAAAGTAGAAAGTGGACATGGAAGGGCTTCGAGTAGGTACGACGAGGGCTGCACAGTGTGTGAATGTCGGTGAAGGCTACCGCCGGAAGAGACGAAGTATTTTGGGTTCGATCATCGCTTATAACAAGTGGGTATGATGAAAATGGAGCTCCTCATGGTATTTGTTTTGGAGGGTTAAAGGGTTCATAGCCACGATTGATAAGGCTAATAAGTTCAGAAAACCTCCTCCAATTATGAATCACCAAATATCGGATTATGTTATTGAAATAGTTTTTTTTTTTAGAAAATTATATCAGTAATCAAAACTACGTAGTTTTAATTAATAGGTACCTAATCTTATATACCCTTAAGGGTATATTCACTTTTCTTATATATATATATATATATATATATATATATATATATATATATGCTTAGGTTATTATATTTGAAGTAATTATTGTGTTATTGTATGCATAAATGTGGTCCAATCATTTTACTTATTTTATGAAAGTGATTAATACATATTATTGAATTAAATATAATTGATAAATACCATCAAATTTAACTAGAAGGGTATTTTAGTCAATTGATATAGATTTAATAAAGGAAATTTGCATATTTTAAGGGATAATAGATTCTATTAATTTTAAAAATCCGATTTTACGAATTATAATGTTTTTAATTCGGACATTCTGACAGAATATGTTTGAGTATGTTCAAAAATAATAATATTCTAGAACCATAAAATAATAAAAATATTCTTGAACATATTTCTTGATCATGACTTTAAAAATTTCTTGTGGAATAACAAATTCTCGAACCAGCAATTGAAGAATTAAAACAAAAATTATATTATTTCTTATAGAATACATGTAAAAATTGCTAAGAATTACATTTATTGTTAAAGAATAAAACTAAAAACTTTCAAATCGGGAAAAAAAAACATCAAAATCTAACAAAGACACTAATACATTCTAAAAGAATAATGTTGCTAAGAGGCATCGTTCAAATTTCGTGGTCCATTCTTCAAGCATCAGCTTCTGTGGAAACAAATCAATTGAATAAATTAGTGAGAAAATATCCATATTCCATTCCAACATAATTGGAATTCGTGATTCCATTCTGATAGAATTGGAATTCATTTACCAATAATTATATTAATCCGGGGCATTCTAACAGAATATGTTCATGATTATCATAAAAAACATTCTTTTCTGATAGAATACTAAAAACGAAGAAATACCATTCAGTTGAAGCATTTTAGCGAGCGCTTGGTGTGCATCAAAACAACTTTCAATTTACTGTAAAAATTAAACAATCAGAACAAATTCCCAATTCACCAAAAATATTACACCTTGAAAGAATTAGACAATAAACCTAAACACATCCAAAATTTCTTTGATTTTTGTTAAACAATCAACCCAAACATCCATTCTATATATTGAAATCAAATCAAATTAAAAAAACCCATTTGAAGATTAAACTTCATTGGTTTATAGTAAATCAGTCAAAATAAGAAGAAGAAGAAAGAAACATGTACCCATCGACCTCCTTGTCTCTCGTTCTCACCTCACCAAAAAAAAAAAGGAAGAAGTGGCAGAGCCGCCTACTGTCGTCGCTGATTTTGCTTGTCCCTGCCTAATCGATTTTGTTGTAATGGAATACACAGTGGTGTAGGGCACCGATCGATAAGAGAGTCACCGGAGAAGAGCGTCTGCCCCTCTCTTTCTCGTCTTTTCTTCTTCCTGTCAAACACAACAATCGAACGTCCCCTGGATCGGTGCTGTCCCGATGCTTCTTCCCTCCGCACCTCCTCGCGATTTCCTAACTATCACAGAAGCTCCGTCGACATGCCCTGTTCCTTTGTTTCCCTTACCGTCAGCGTCTTCGACTGATTAGAGGGGTAGGGCACCGATCGATAACTGCTTCCTTCGAACCAACTGCCGCCTCTTCATCCCGTCGATTGCACCACCCACCTCTCTTCCCTTCACACACTATGCCGTAACCGGGAGAGAAGCAGTCGAGAGCTGCTTGATTGTTAAAGGTCGATGTTTTCTGTCTAGGGTTTTAAAGCGGTAAATGTAAACGATTTTGCCTAAATTAAAGGGTTTATGATTTGAATAATTAATTATCAAAATTAATTAAAAGCAAAGATTACAATTTTTACCCCTATCTAGGTTTTTAAAATGATTGGTCCACATTTATGCATACAATAATACAATAATTACTTTAAACACCTGAACCTATCTTTCTCTCTCCTCTCTCTCTCTCTCTCTCTCTCTATATATATATATATATATATATATATATATAATATATATATATATATATATATATATATATATAGATATATATATATATATATATATGTAAGAACTTTCGTTAAAATAATTTCAAAAAAATATATATATACATATCATGTAACGCATATATGTACAAAGTAAATATACGTATATTCATATTTTATACATATTTTATATATACGTATATTCGAAGCAACATAGAAGTTACGGTTATTACCTAGGATGAAAAGATAACGTATGGAGTCATTATACAGCCATGTTTCGTTGATGATTCCGGGACGCAATCATCCTAAGGGGGAGATAATTGTAACGCCCGTAGATCCAGGCGAGTCAATTTAGAGACAATGAGCATCAAAAATGAGTTTTTGATGGAAGATTATTTAGAAGGAATAGTCTTAATAAAAGTTCTAGCATATGTTACAAGGATTCCGTACATATAAAGAACGCCGAAATCCGAGTTATAACGAAGAAGTTATGGCCCGTCGAAGTTTCGCGGCAAAACCGGCACGGCACCGGTAAACGTAAAATAGTGAATTTACGATAGAGGAATTTTTGGCCTTAGTAATCTAAATGAAAGTCGTAGAATATGTTAAACCGAGAGCTTCCATAAAAAGAACGCCCAAATCTGACTTCGTATGAGGAAGTTGTGATTTTTCTAAGATTTGGCATAGTAGTGCACGGCCCAAAACTCGAATTTTAGATCGAGCGGTTTTTGGCCTACGCGACCTAAATGAGAGTTGAATATCTCATTAATAGGAACTCAACGATAAAAATACAAACGAAAACGGAGTCCGTATGTAGAAGTTACGAATTTTACGCGGACATTTAACAATGTAATCCCTTCGTAATGTTAAATTTAAGATCGGTCGAGAATTAGCTGACGGAGTCAAGAAGAGAGTTGTAGATCTTATTTTTACCTACGCGTGGATATAAAGAACGTCGAAAACGAAGCTCGTATGCGAAAGTTATGAATTTTTGAAAATCGGCTGATTTCCACCCTGTGTGCGATGCCACGTGTCAGCACCAGGCTGTGCCTGGCTGTATGCAGCTGGCTCACGACGTGAGCATCTTAAAACTCACGACGTGAGTTTGCCTCCAACCCCCTATAAATAAGAGATGAAGCCCTCTTCATTCCTCACACCTCCCATCACTTCCCTCTCTCTAGCCCCGAACCCCCCCCCCCCCCCCCCCCAAAGGCCTAGGGAACCTCCCTAGCACGAGGCGGAAGCCCCGGAGCGCCGGACGGCTCCGAGAAGAAGAGCCTTTCGGCTCGGGAACGTTGCTCCAGCGAAGCCCGGTTTTGAGAAAAACCCGCTGTAAGTGAGCTACGCCTAACCTAACTTTAGTATAGCTTATGTTTCAATATAGTAATGTTATTAGGACTTTATAATAAATATTTGGGATATTATTATGGGTTATATAAGTGTCGTTATAATATCTTTTTAACCACTCGCGGTACGGGGAATCTGGTTTGGAGGGCCGCTTGGGTTGCTGGATTTCAGAAGTGTTATATGCCAAAATGATCCTGCCCTCCGGTGTTCCATGTCTGGCCCCTGTCTGTGCATAGTGCTTGAACCCTGGCGACTATGGACTTAGTGCTTGTTGTATAAACCCTGGCGACTATGCAGACTTAGTGCCTAAACCATGGCGATCATGCAGACTTGGTGCCTAAACCCTGGCGACTATGCAAACTTAGTGCCTAAACTCTGGCGATCATGCAAACTTGGTGCCTAAACCCTGGAGACTATGCAAACTTAGTGCCTAAACCCTGGCAATGCAGACTTGGTGCCTAAACCCTGGTGACTATGCAGACTTAGTGCCTAAACCCTGGCGATCATGCAGACTTGGTGCTTAAACCCTGGCGACTATGCAGACTTAGTGCCTAAACCCTGGCAACTATGATACGTAGTGCCTGTTGAGTAAACCATGGCAATGATGGACTTCGTGCCGATTCCTTAGGATAATCCTTATGAATGAATGAACGAGGAATTGTTGATTCTTAGGGTAGATTCTTAAGAATAAATAAGATAATGGGGATGGGTAATTGGGTTGATTGTTTGATGTTTAAACATAAAAATTATATTACTGTGGGTTGAAAACCCTATGTACTCACCAGGTTTCCCAACCTGACCCACTCAAGCTTATTTGTATCACAGGTGTTAATACGAAGCTACTATACACTGAGAGATTTGTTGAATCATGAAAAGTGACCCTCTTGAACTTCAGCTACCGCAGTCAAGCTCCCTCTTCAGCATCCGAAGTCATCAAAGCCAACCGCAGTCACTCTTTGTTACTTAGTTTATTTTGTCTTACTATAATTCTCTCTATTGTCCAGTATGCCTTGCATGGCTACTCTTAGAGATTGAATCTAATGTAACTCCTTGAGTCTCTATAAATAGACCTCATTCTCTTGTATTCATTACGGATCTATCATTCTGAATACACATCTCTGAAGTTATCTTTTCTATCTCTCTATCTAATTACTCATCTCTTCTTACTCACAAATCTTACTAGAATATAACTGATTACAATCTCTCTTCGGAGCAAGTCTTTTGTGACTTAATCACTAAGTTTGATCTCACTTATTAACTTGGCTTGAATGCATTCCTCGTTATGAATCAACTTATGTGTATTCTTGATATAACAATTGTTGTCATTTCATTTCTTTACTTTTCCGTAACTTACTCTCTAACTATCTAACCGTAACTTATTAATATTATTTTTGAGCTTTTAGATCCTTCGAGATTAACTATTCCGCAATATACTTGTTCTAACGTTTTGTTCAAGTGTGTCTCAAAGTTTTTCTCTCAACAATTGGTATCAGAGCCATAGTGGTTGCTTTTTGAAAACAGAACTCTGATTTTCAAAGGGCCTTCTATACCACTGAAGCT